GCGTTTACTCCACTTTTCTTCAGTGAACCAGCTCGCTCTAAAGATCTATGAATTCGATGGTAGATCCTTGAGGAAATGGAGGGCGCTATTGCAAATGAATTTACATTATATGATTATTAATTATATAATTATACTTATTATTATTATGAATGAAATAATACCAGACCTAAAATAGTGGAATTATCAGCACTATTTACCCTTCACTTCCCCAATCTTCCAAAAACAGGCCAGTTTCTGACCGACTTTTTTCTCCGTGGACAGATGTGGCTCCAAATGTTGACTCCTGGGGTAGTAACAGTTAGCCAATAACCGTAGAACTAGTTAGATAATTCAATAGTCATACGATACTCAGTTTTCTTTTCTCTTTTTTTGATTTCCACTATTTCAGAAACACCATCCACGTCATGGAAGAAGGAACTCGTACTTCAATGATTTCCACTTTCTTGCCACCCTCCACAAGAACAGAACGACAGCAGGAGATATTGAAAGCCATATAACTGCCACTCTTGAGCAAATTCGCACCCACATTCAGATGGCGTGGACTCTGAATGATCAATGGACACATCATCTCCTGACGACAACTGGAGCAACATTCACAGCAGGAGAACTGGTTGTGTCTACTTCACGCATGTGGAAAACGGCCACATACGCTAAAGAGAAGCTCCTGAGCCTGGCGCAGAGATTCATGCTATTTGACTCGATATATCAAATGATGGCCAATGACGGAAGGATCCCGGCAAGAAGAAGAACTACTTGGGTTCAGAACAAAGAGCACGATACGAAAACATGGGCTACACGAGTTCACCAGCATCTGGAACGCTTGGACCGCAATATCTCCGACATCGAAGATGAAATGTCACGAGCAGAAAAGCAGGTCTACGAGGAAAAAATCCAAAATAAAGAGCCATTCATATCAGTATTCAATAAGACTGTTGCTTCATTAGAGGTAAAGCTTGATGGAATAGCCTCAAAACTAGTGAGTCGTAACAACGAGGAAACGAGCCAACACTCACCGACAAAAAGAAAGTTAGACGACATAGAGGAGGGACCGAGCACGAGCAAGGTCCATATCGTTGTCTGACGACGAGTATATGAAGAGATTGATTGAAGAAAACAAGGACGATAATGATGATGACCCGCCGGAGGCTGCTGAACGCAGAAGCCTTCATGAGAGCGAAGAGCAAGAACGAAATAGGCGTGAGCAAGCCCAATACGAGGAAGAGCAACTTCGCAGAGGAAAACCGTCAAAAGTATATCAAGGACCCGAAACGACGAACCTCAAAGGGGCTCCTGCTTACCAGAGGCGCTTATCTTCTACTCCACAGAAAAAATTGGACGTAGGCTACCGGAAGGCGCCACTGCGCGTTCTGCGGGAGAGTTGGGCACTTTTCGGATTCTTGTACAACAATAACTGATGGACAGGAGCGCTATGACTTCATTGTGCGAGAAGACCGTTGTCGATTATGTCTTAAGAAAGGTCACCGAACCAGAGATTGTTAGGCAAAGGACAAAGGCTGCTGGTATTGTGGAATCGTGCAGGACACAGCTCTGCATTCCTAATCAGCCGACAGGCTCATCACAGAGCCATATGTACAATCCCGGATGCAAAAGACCGCATAACTGAAAGGATCAGAATGGTAAGAGAGCAGATCCGTGACGCCATGCATCGATGATCTGCCGCCCGGAGTGTAGCGAAACTCGCTACTTTTTGTAAATATGGTTAGAAGGTTTACTATTCATTTCTTAGCTGTATCGATTACTTTCAGGGAGATTTCTCATCACTAGGCTGAGCTGTAGAAACATTTGTAACATTTTACAGATATGTTTTCCTGAGATGTAGAAACATTTTACAGATATGTTTTCATTCGAAGCGAGATCGACGAGATGCTGCAGTATAAAAGAGCGTCACGCCGAGCTTCGCGGTTCCGTCCACTATCTTCTGCTTCCATATCGCCTGCACCGCTGTATTCTGTAGGACATCCTATTCTTATTGTTCATATTATTGTATTTCAATAAATGTTTAGTGTCTTTTTGTAGAATACGATATTCTGTATCAATATTCCCTCGGATATACGATATTTCAATAACTGCAATATTCAATATCTACGAATCAATATCCGGTGGCTCGACACAGGCTCAACATCCCATCAATAAGGTTTGGTGCATTTTCAACTAAGCTATATATTCAATACCGCGTGGCCAGCCAAGAGCTGAGAAGGCGAGCGTGATTTTCCCCACAACTACAGTGACAACGCCCTCATCAGAGCGCGATGAATCAGGCCACTCTAATGTTCTTATCTCTCGCAACAGATCTTATCAACTATTTCTTTTCTTCTCACCCACCAATAATGTTCTCGACGAGTGGTCTATACCGCATTTCTGAACCAAGGCTACACCGTTTCTGCGTCCGGCGCTGTAAGTTTCGTGATAAACGGACAGAGGCGACTGGGTGTCAGATAATCCGGCTTGTCTAACTGACCAAGCTCCATGGTAACCATGACCATTCGTGACTATCGATAGGATCTTAAGTCTGGTTCCTCTAATTTTTAAGCCCTTACGTGACCATAAAAAAGAGCACAGTGGTAGCCGCATGGAGCAATAGTACACTGGTGTGCAAAACTTAGGGACGAGATGGATAAAGTAACATAAAACTAATGACTGGGTGGAAGTAAATGAAAGTGTGGGAGCATGTTGCCACTCGCCTAAGGGATATGCACAGGAAGCTAGACTTTTCTCGGTGGAAGAAGAGCTTGAATAAAGTGCCAAATATGGCCGACCGCGCAAATCGAGGCAGTCTATGGGTATGAAAAAAAATTTTTTTTCTCAATCAACGAGTAGCTGCAAAGAACTGTGGTAGTATCCTTCGATACATCATGTCCCGAAGAGAGCATCTGGATGACTTCACTCGTCAGGAGATGGCATAGGAAAACTCGAAGGGTCGAACCATGACGAGTGTAGCCCAGGAGTTCGGTATCGCTCACAGCGTTGTTTCACGTGCATGGAGAGCGTTCCGAACCTTTGGTACTGCTGCCCGAAGACGAGGAGGTGGCCGACCAAGGACAACTACACCAAGGGACGACCGCTACATTGTGCAGCAGGCAAGAAGAGATCCTCGTCAGTCGGCTTCGGCTATTGCAACGACGTTTAACAGGACTCTAGGGCAAGCCATCTCACGCACTACAGTGGCAAGACGACTGCATGGTGGTGGTCTCTTCGCCCGACGACCGTTACGTTGTGTTCCTTTGACCCCCGCGCATCGGCGAGACCGTTTACGGTGGTGCCAGGAGCATGGCGAATGGACCGATGAGGAATGGAGCCGTGTGCTCTTTTCGGATGAGAGCAGGTTCAGTCTGAGCAGTGATTTCTGGACGCACCCTCATATGGCGAGAGGTGGGAACACGCAACTCCCCGGAAACATTGTCGAACGTGATCGTACTGGTGGTCGAGGTGTTATGGTATGGGGAGGCATCATGTTGCATGGCCGTACTGACCTCCAGATTTTTGAGCATGGAACCCTCACCAGTCAGCGTTACTCCTACATCATGTCCGTCTTTTCAGAGCTGCAATCGGCCCTGACTTCATTTTCATGGATGACAATGCGCGACCGCATCGAACAGCACAGGTGGAGGAGCTTCTAGAACGAGAGGATATCCGGCGAATGGAGGCCCGCCCGTTCCCCCGACCTAAATCCCATCGAGCACGTGTGGGATGCACTGGGTAGACGCATTGCAGCACGACCAAATGCACCAATGACGATCCAGCAATTGTCAAATGCACTGATTGAGGAGTGGAATGCCCTGCCCCAGGAACTCATTACCAACCTCGGAGAGTATGGGATCGCGGTGCAGAGCATGTATTGCTGTCCGTGGTGATCACACACCCTATTAGGATCCGTGTAACTTCTTTTGTGACATGGTTGAATAAAAATGTCATAACAATTCGTCTTATTCCGAGTTTCTGTCAGTTGCTTTCTGTACAATATCGTTAAGGTTCTCTCTTGATATGATATGAATTTCATCGAGCTATGTTGTCTGGCAGAGGCACAGTGATCGAAAGTTGCTTTCGTCCCTAAGTTTTGCACACCAGTGTACATTTTCCACAGTAACAAACGTCGTCGTGGGATTGAATTCTTGCTGAAATTGTTGTTTGCTTTTTCCAGAAACAGCAAGAAATGCCTAGGATTGGTTCACTGGTATTCCTAGAACATCAGAGCTCGCCTATAATTTTCGATAAAGAAGGCTTGCGAGCAATTCTCAAAAACTTTGGACACAGGAGTAAGCGTTGATGCGTTAGGGTTCGTAACGCACTTTGCAGCCGTCTTTGCGCAAAACGAAGGCCAAATTCGTGAGCTCGAACCGTTTACAAGGGAATGCTCTGAAAAACCCATGAACATGGATAAAGGCCTACAAACATCGATAGGATCTCGAATGGTGGTTGATAATAAGCGGATTCAAGATGCTACGGGGACCTGGCTAACAGTTCTGAGTGATTAAAGTTTGCGGAAATTCAATTTCGCATGTCAGCACTGCTGAACGGTGCTCTGCAACCATGACCCGGTGGTAACGGTCTCTATTCAAAGCGAGGAGTTGCCCCCAGTTTGTACTAATGTTCCCGCTTGGTGCCAATGAGGTTTTCACTCCAATTTTTTGAAACTCCTTGACTAAATGACCAAGTATTATAAGTATATGACGGGCAGATCAAACTATAGAACCGGTCACTCTCTCCATAACGACACTCACTACCTATCTGATAACTGCAAATTTTGTACAAAAATCTCAATCTGGCCACAAACCTGTTTCGGACCTTTCTTCTAAATTTTCGCCTTTTTAGGCTGTAACAGGTGGTCTGTGTTCAGTGGTATAGTGATATAGTGTTGATTTCCACTATCTAATGGCCACGCGTGAGTTGGACTGTAAAGTACCAAATAGTAACACAACACTGTGTTAGTCAATGCGCACGTTGTGAAAGGATTAGCTGATTTCGTACTCCTTACCATTAGTGAGAGCCTGAGGCGGCGGTCCCTAGTAATCAACTACTCTTCATATACCCTACCGTAGATAGAATAATAGTCTGCTCTACGATCTGAAAGACCACCTACTGAGGCATTGATCTGCCTGCTCAGATCACGTAGTCTCGGCTACACTCCCAGGCGCCTCGAATTGTTCGCCATCAAGCTGCTCCAGCTTGAATCGGTCATCCCGTATCCTCTCTCTGACTCGCTCCCTTAATCTGGTACCGAGCAGAGTGCTCGATGGTGTCCGTTCTTGGGATCAGGAAGTTTATCGTCGTCTTCCCCACCAGTACCAGCATGTCTTGTCTCAATCTCTGCATTTGCTCCTGCATCGCATTAGCCGGTGCTCATATCTTCTTGCGTCGATGATAATCCTCACACTTCCTCGCTATGCATGCATCTCAGATAGGAGTCCGAGTAATGAGCGCCCCTCTTCTTGCAAAAGACACATACAATGAAGGGGTCGATCTTCGAGGCATCGCCGAGTTTCCTTTGTAGCAAGACTCTAAGGCCGAACTGCAGTCCTGCCAGTTCTTTCTCAAGCAAGTCTTGTGGGGTTCTCTCGCGACACTTGATTTCTCGTACGTTGTTATTATCGTCTTCCTCATCATTGTTTTCCTTTTTGCTTATTATCGTCTCCTCATCATTGTTTTCCTTTATCAATCTGTCGAAGGAAATCATCATCACACACCTTGTTGGAGCGAATCTTCGGAGTCTCCTTGATCCTCCAGTTTCTGCCTTGTAACTAGGCTTTCATCCAGTTTGACGTTCCTGGCTAGTTTTTTTTTTCAGGTGCTCTCCCATACGCTGAAGAAAGGGGGGTTGCCCTTCCCCTCGGATTGCTGTTGACCTATTGAAGTAAGGGTGTTCAGCACAGTCTTCCCTCAATTTATGAGGTCAGTCGCCCTTCTCGCACGTCCACGATTCGATCCAATATTTTTAGATGTTCTTCGGCCAGCTTTATCACTTCTCTTGTATTGAAGCCGTTCTTTGGATATCGCTCCTCTTCACCATCCATGCGATGCCGTTTGCTAGGACGACCATCATCAGTTATTAGAGCCCGCATAGCGTCCAAGAATAGCAGTCTCTGCACTAGGCGCTTCGAGTTACTAGAGGTCGCACTTGTAGTGTTGAGCAGCTGGTTTGCTTCCAACAGGCGGCTCCGCCCACTGTTAGAAGCTCGCCCACTTTCGAAAATGGAATGACAACCTGACCTAGGTTCATCTTTATTGCCTTTTCAAGGGTAGAAAGGTGAGGCCATTTGCGTGGACTGCATAAAGTCCAAAAATCCATCGTATATCTACAAACAGTGGCAAATATGCAACAAACAATGACAATTATGCCTAACGTATTAAGAATCGTAACCATAGAGTGAGATCTGAGATCCAAGGCAAAATAACAAGGCACATATCGTTTTGGTTAAGACACTTAAAATCTTATCAATACAATTCTATAAAATAACTATAATAAATTTTAGCACTTAATTTGGCAGACAGACCAGTACATACTATTTACAAAGTTACAAGATCTGCTGATGGAGATTTCAAGGCACGAACTGCTCGACAGAAATTCCTATTTCTACGTCACGATAGGCGAAAATTGTAGGTCTGTTCTGAGATGTAAAGCACTTGCTGAGCATGAGTGCTAATCCAGTTTCTGAGCGCCGATTCGGTCCCATGCACTTTCTCGAACAGTAACGAGCACCGTGGAGAGAAGTGGCCTTTCTGGAAAGAATAAACAATTAGGTTAAATAATGCAGTCCCCATCCAGCCACTCCCATTCACACACTTTTTCATGTGCGCCTAGTACTACACTTCTGGCATTTTAAGGACTTTCAAACTCCACATTCCAAATTGTCGCTTGGCAACAATTGTTCTTATCTCTGAG